GGCTTTTGCTCCACTGCAATCAATATAATCAGCTGTGCTAAAACAGGGAAACCTCTAAAACCCGCAGGACAGCGGGCCTCAAAGACCGAGGTTGGGGATGCCTGGTGTAGACAACACCTCAAGAAGTGATCTCTTGACCTCAGGCTGGTTCACCCGGGGGATTTGGAACAACTTTTAAAAGCTGTGGCTGAAAATCAAACCACTCTTTCACATTTAGGACGAAAGACGTTCTGTGTTTCCTAAATCTGAGTCCCCTCCTCGAATCGCCACCTTACCGTGGTGGAGGGGTTTGAGTGCCTCAGAGATCCCAGAAGCTATGTTGTCCGGGGCAGTTTTGCCCCTGGTAGGGTCTCCCATGGCAAACTGGTTCTGGGTGAGAGGCCAGACTAAGTGCGATTCAGTGGCTTTTCTTTAAGAATACAAGAGGAATCTGGTGAGGAACCTCCCTCCTTTCTTTGGATCAGCAAACAGGTGAACGGCATTAACTGAACAACAGGACCTTTGGTTGGCCAACACGTTTGGTTGTACAAATGTGTTACATCAACACCAGGCAAACGACTCAGCAAAGATCCAATTTCAGTTAGGCTCTTTTAGCAGTTTGTTTCCAACAGAAAGTGATAAAGATATCATATGGTAGTATTTGAGTTGAAATGAAGATAACAGTTTGAAAGAAGAAAATAGGAGTTTAGCTTTAGAGGTTATTCCCCATGGACACACTGAACCTGTTTGTTTTTATACCCTGTTTCATTTGCTGTGCAAAGACGTATAGTTTTGAAATTTTTCCTTTTGTTTTCCATCTGTTCAGTTTCTTTGTACTTCAGCACAAACTGTGAGATGTGGTTCCAATGCCAGGTACTGTGTGGGCGAGGGGCATCTGAAGTTCAAAGAAAAACTTGGAAAGACCTTCAGAAAGCCTGGAAAATTGTTGATAAAGACCAATTTATGAGGAAGAAAGGACCACACCTTGGAAAAAGAGAAATTACCCAAAGATTAAAGCTTTAAAATATTAAGGCTTAGGAACACATTAAACAAATGAAGTTAGATGGATTCAGGCTGGGGTTTTTTTGTTTTTTTTGAGAAAAGATATATGAATAATCTCCTGGAGAAAAGGAACACAGGCAGGTGTTTAAGAGAGGTAAGTGTGAGCGGTTCAGTGGAAGGTGACGCAGCGTTTTCCTGCAAAAACCTGGAAAGCACATCTTTCCATCCTCTGAAGTCCTCTGTAAACTTTCAGAGAAGGCTAATAAATGTAGGACAGCTTTAAGGTTTCACATGTGTAGCCAGCAAGCTCTCTGAGAACAGCGCTCTACCCTCTTACTACAGCCAACACGCCAATACGAGCAACATCTCCAACAACAATCTGCTGGTTGTTCTGATTTAGTGACGTCTAAAATATGTCGTCTTTAAACTCAAACCATGTTCCAGTCTTTAAATGAATTATGACAAGACCTGCAGTTATTTTTGTCTCCTCATCTCGGGTTACCTTCTCTGTTGTCATCCATCATCCTTTTCTTGTGTCCTATCAGGCCATAAGCAACAAAGACCAGCACAGCATCTCTTACACTCTGTCGCGAGCCCAGACGGTGGTGGTGGAGTACACTCATGACAGCAATACTGATATGTTCCAGGTAAAATAGCCCAGATTTTTATTGCTTTTTTTTTCACAGCCAATCAACAAACTTTTTAATCGTTTTTTTTTCTCCCACCTTACTGTTCTTGACATGTAGAATTTGCTGCGATTTATGAACGCTGGTTGGTGCACTGCAGGTTTAAAAGTTGAGACTAAAGGCCCCTCTGATGCCATAACAGATCTTTATTAATATTACAAGAAGAGGTGATGTCACACTGTGTGAGAGAGAAAATAGCAAAATGGGTTTTTGCTATTTTATTTTAAATAAAAATAAAATGATCAAAGGGGGGACTTTTTTTTCATATTAAAGCAATAAGTAATCATTTAAACATTCAAAATTTCACACAATAAAGTTTTAAAGGTGATTGATTTGTTACCCACTCTGTTTATTCCCTAATAAATTGGTTCTCTCCAGTGTTGGTCATTTAAACTTCCAGTTATTATCTCAAGTCATGTTTTAAAGTTTGGTAGAATGCAGTGGTTAGGGCATACCATCCGTTTACGGAGGCCTTAGTAATTGACATGGCTGACCCGGGTTCGAATCCAGCCCATTCCTCCCCATCTCTTACACCCCCTTTCCTGTCAGCCTACGAATAACGAGCCACTAGTGCTGCAAAAAACTCAAAAAAAATAAAAAAGCCTGACAGAATGGCCAACATGGCTGAACAGAAAATGAAGCTTCCTTTTAAGAGGCGTCTTGGCTTGGTCTGAATTAACTTCTGAACTTCTGGATGATCCATAAATGGACAACTTTAAACATTCTGCCTACAGTGGCACCTTTTGCTGGTGATCTGCAACCTACAGTCTTAGAGCCCAGTGTGGCTCTTCAGGCCCTCTGCAGAGACTCTATAAATTTGACCAAAAGTAGAAAAATTTAAAGAAAAAATCTAATTATTTAATGTTTTTTTAAAGCTGATATATATATATATTTTTTTTTATTCTCTTTTTTTTTGCATTTGGGGGTAAAATTTATATATTTTTTATTTACTTTTTTGAATATATTTAAGAAATATTTTCCCTCACTCCTTTAAACGTTTTGACGTTTTGCTCTAAAACTTCACAGTAGTTCATAAATTTCAGCATAAATCATGTGTTACAGTTTGTGCCTACAGTACAGACAAACTGTTTGGCAAGAAGAACGGCAAAAACGACTCTTTGGATCGTAAACGTTGCAGCTGGATGTTTCCAATGGCATAATGAATTGGTCTCTGTATCTATTTAGTGTTGATCATTCCAAACCTTAGAAGTGGTAGAAAACAGCCGTGCAGATTGTTGAACTTTAGTAACTAAACCCAATCAGATCTACATGTCAGTAAACATGCAGCTGACAGGAAACAAACAGAACTTCAGTCAAAACTTTGATCACACAGAGACATGATCATTTCAGACCATGCTGATGGTTTAAAGCGTTTATGTTTCTTTTTAGGAATAAAAACATTCACAAATGTACATACTGTATGATTTGTTGACTGATCTAAAGAGCCTTTCTTCTCGTAATTTGCACTTCAGAGATAAAAAAAAGGAGAAAAAAAATACAAAAAAAAAATACAAAGAAAGGGAAATATTTGAGTTCAAATGCAACAGTTGTAATTGTACTGAGAGGTTGTGAGTCCCAACTCTGAGCTGCATATTTAAATGTGCACATTTTGGATTTAGATAATGCAAAACATCTTTATTCAAATTTCCAGTGGAGGGGTGTACAATGTATTCTCACAGCATTTTCTAAAATTACCCTGCTGTGAGCTCGGGTAGCAATAACGCAGCAGGAGACTGTTGCTGTGTTGTTATTTTGATACGGCTGTGATGCGGGTCGCTGCCATGGGCAACACAGTGCCTGTTAGCAAAGCACAACATCAGAGTTATCCTGCTGCAAGAAATACAGCAGATTTAGACTAATTACAGGTTGTGATTCTTTCTCAATGCCCAAGCACATTTGTTTTTAAGTCTGTATTAATCCCCGCTCCTCCAAAGGTAAAGATGAACCTGCTTGTTTTGGTTTTCCACCAGATCGGCCGATCCACAGAGAGTCCGATAGACTTCGTGGTGACGGACACAGTGGCCGGCAGCCAGAGTAACTCAGACACCCAGTCGGTCCAGAGCACCATCTCCCGCTTCGCCTGCCGCATCATGTGCCAGCGCACGCCGCCTTACACGGCTCGCATCTATGCAGCGGGCTTCGATTCCTCCAAGAACATATTCTTGGGGGTAAGCCATATTTCATTTTCACACGGCTCAGAAAAACAGCACCACACTGCATCATCATTCAAATATTCCTTCTCCCTAATCTCCGATTTTCCACATCGCTTTTTGCTTCAGGAGAAAGCTGCAAAGTGGAAGACGCTCGACGGACAGATGGACGGGCTGACCACTAATGGCGTGCTGGTGATGCATCCTCGCAACGGCTTTATGCAGGACTCCAAACCGGGAGTCTGGAGGGAGATCTCTGTTTGTGGAAACGTCTTCACCCTGCGAGAGACGCGCTCGGCGCAGCAGCGGGGGAAAATGGTGAGATAAGAAATATTTTAATTCAAGATTAAAACATTTTGCCTACAGTGGTTTAAAGTAAACAAGTACCTCATCTGCAAAAAAATAAAAAAAATCATAACCCAGAAAAAGCCTCCATGATTGTTAAATCAGAGGTGATGAATCCCTTACACCATCTTTTTCACACTCTTCCGAAACCTTTTCCCCATCAGAAGGTTATCTAGATGCCATCTCCAAGGCAACAGTTTGTCAGTCAAAGCTGTGAGTAACACAATCTTGCAAAGGATCCTTCAGCTGTCTCTTGGCCAATCACAACCCTCCCTCTGCCTCATCTCCACAGCCACAAGACACTTAACCGTTTTATTCCCTCCTCTAATTCTTAATCCGTCTCTTTATCTGCTGTCTCACCACAGGGACAGCTCTCCCCTTATCCTCACCCCAGATCTACATACCTTAGTGTGCGAGTTTGTCATGCTTGATGGGATTGAGTAAACACCTTTTTTTTCAGGTTCCATTTAGTTTATCACAGAAAGGACAGCGTCATCTTCGTATTGGAGCTATCAGATCAAATGGTGGAAAATCGAGGAAGTAATTTATATGTTATCTCTATGTAAAGGCAGTAAACTAATGGTCCCCAATGGGAAGGACCATTTTAAGCAATGCTGATGATGCAAACTGGTTGATTGGGGACATGATGGCCGATTAACCTGGCGATGTAGTTCAGCGGAAAAGCTTTTTTTCTTCAGTCAGGTTGATCTGTCCTTCCGCCACGGTAAAGCAGCTCCTGCCGTTGGGTCCTGGACGGACAGAAGTGCTGCGGCGATCCAGCCACGGCTCCTTCAGCAGGTGGTGGTACTAGAGGAACTGACTGTGGATCTGGTAGATGAAGCGGACGTTGTTGGTCTTTCCACATTACATACAGCAGCGTAACTCGCTCGGTAAAATGAAGGACCCCATGGTTGAGTTCGACACACGACAACAGCTCCTCCCATCCGATGACACGGTGAAGCGAACAGGGCGTAATTAGTCACACGGATTGTTTGCATTTGCATGGAAGGAACGCACCTTTATATGGAGATCTTAGACACAAAGCTCAGTAAAATCCAGGCTTTATCCTAAGATATAAATATTTCTTGTATTGTTTTAGGACATTCTGTTTGTTGTCTTTACATAACTCAGTTATTTACACCAGACTGCAGATGTGTCTCCAGGTTTTCTCTATGATCTCATCTTTCTTTGGAATCCAACCCGTTTCTTGTTAGATCCTGCTTCAGTAGAAAATATCGAACAATGAGTTTAAGAGAGCTCATCTCTAAATAGGAGGCAACTTTCCACTGTTTTTTTTCCAATTTTTTCAGACCACAGCACTGCAGTCATGTTTTAAGGCCCAGTGAAGCGGCTGTGGTAGCGTGGGTGATGGCTGAACTCCTGCAGGGTTATGCAAGCTTTGATGCTGCTAAATGTGCTTTGCTCTGATGTAGAAAAAAAGGTTAACAATGAAGGGAAAAAATGCTTATATGTGCATAGATCTCAGATGTGAACATTCATACTCACTGGAGCAGTTTTTCAGATTGCTTTGATGTGGTTCATAGGTGAAGAACAGCTAGAGGAGCGACCTTTTGCTCCCTGAGCTAGCTTGTAATTGAGCAGTAGAAATGTAAAGGTCAGGCCAGAGAGATTTGAGCATGTGTATCATGAAGAGTGCAAACACGCTCTGCAAACAGTTTTATAAAGAGGGAGATATCAGAGCAGTTGAACGCTGAACACGCCAGCCAACACGCTGTGGTCCCCTCGAGCACCGCGGTAACCTCAACACCTTGAAGTTGCCTCATGTCTTATCTCAGCATCAGCTTCTGCCGTGTGATTCATTCCCTACTTTTCTCCTCTCCATTCTCTGTGTTTTCCCCTCCTCATGCACTCTGGTTATCTAAACATGGAATTTCCCGCTCCGTCTGATCATGCAAAGGCAGAATGAGTTCTTCCTCAACTCTGAATTCATCCAGAAATTTCCAGCAGCTGTCTGGTCCGCCTTCAAGCAGCACAAATCACAGCTTCCTCATCTCATCTTCCCCCCAGCTGTCACTCTTCTGCCCCTCTGACAGACTCAGGATGGCTACGTTAGGATGCCACCTGCTGTCCTCGGAGCGGTACTGCAGAAATGGCAGTGATGTCTTTTTAAACCTCCCTACAGGTTTAAGCTGACTAAATAAAAGGTTTTGGGGTTGTTTTTTTTTACCTCACAAGAAAGATGATCATAGAAAAATCATTTATTTATCTTGGAAATGATCTTCAAAAGAGAGATAAATATATATCAAGTGTATCCTTTTGTTAGATTTGAAAATTAACCCAAAATTCTGCTTTGTAGACTTTTATAGAGTATTTTGTAAAACCTAAACAAGTATTTTTCATAAATAAATATGAAGTTAAAGCCTTAACATACATGAAGATTTATAGATATATGTTTTTAAATAGAGATTAAAAACATCTCTATGTAGAAAGACCGTTGATTGTGCCATCTAAATATTTTTAAAGTTTTTAGTCTGAGGTCAATCTTCTCTTTATCAGCAGAAAAATGGATGACCAAATATCTGTCTTTTACTAAGAAAGACAAAACTAGATTTTCCAAAAGCCTTTGTTAATAATAACTGCATATATTTGTACATCGCTGCTGTCTAAATTAAAGGTGTAGTAGATGATCTTTTAGCTTTGAATACTGGGGAGAACATATTATATTAAAAAAAATAAACAAATCCTCTGTACTTTTATAAATAATTGTTATGCATATTGATATTTACAGTTTACTAATATTTAGTAATACCTACATTACATTGATTAAGTTGTTATTATCGTTAAGTTTAAGAGTCCTAGATGTCTTGCAGACACGTTTTCCCTTCTACTCTATAAAACAAAAAGACTAATTCTGAAAATAGCATAAACTCACTATTTATCATCTTTAAAATTAGTATGTTGATATGAGTAATTAACTACTATATTTTTGCTGTCAGTTTATTGATAATATTAAAATAATTTCAAATTACTTTCAGTAGAGATCATTTCAGTCGAGAGTATTGCTGCTGCCACCCTCTGGTCTAGAGGGGAACTGCTTGTGAATGATGGCCATGTAGGATCCCTTGGTACTGGTTTTAAGAAAGAATCGCAGTCCACTCATTACAGAAACTAGTTATCTCATTAACTCTATCTGGAAAAAATATCTTTACCTCTTTTTCTCATCAAAACAAAGAAATTGATAAAATCCTTAACACATATTACTTGGCAAATATTTTATTCACAAAAATAAATTCCAAAAAACAAAACCACCATTTTCAGCATTTCATATTGAAATAAAAACGATAAATTGATACAATTGTCAAATCTAAATAACAATTCAATCTGAAAAACTCACACGAAGAGAAAAGATAATTAGGAGAAATTTATTGATACAGTTACTTTGTATTTGGTGCTCAGAGCTTGGCAGGAAACATAGCGCTGAATTTTGATAGACATGCATGAACAGGAGCAAAGAATAGTGCTGTTTCCCCCCTGGTTAGTGAGACGGTCTGCTGAGCTTTATGGGGAGATCCAGTGGATTGGGTGAGCTGATACTAGAGCTTCACTCAGGGACCTGGAAGATGGAAGTCCAGTTGAATAACACAGGTTGAGAGAACCTGTCCATGATGAGCAAGCATGAAGTGCCAGTGGAGAGGAAAAACTCCCCATTGGGAAGAAACCTCTGGCAGAACCAGGCTCAACATGGCGGTCTTCTGCTGGACCGGTTAAGATGAGACAGGGAAGGCAGTAAGAGTCCAGGAGGAATGACACTCTGATGAAGCTTTAGCTGTGATGGTGGAGGAGGGGCTGGAGGTGGGTTGAAACTGGGTCATCTGAATTGAAGTCACAGTGCATCCCCCGCCTGCACACAGGAGCAGACAGGTGCGAACTTGGGATGCTGATTGGCTTTCGTGGAGGTGTGGTTCAAAGCTGATTGGCTGTGTCGCAGGTGGATGAAGGAGAGCAATGAGGCTCCATTTAAAAAAAAAACACACAATCTGTCTTATAGACTCTCATAATTGCTCAAATCACTGCACACCGCTCTCTACACTACTGCATCTCAACACATTTTGATCTAAGATCTCTTCTTTCCATCATTCAGCCCCAAACTCCACTCCCTTTGATTTTTTGTTGTTTGTTTTCCCTTTTTCTTCTTTTTTTTCTTTCTCTTGGCTAATTATTGATTGTTAGGACATTTGTTACTGAGGAACTTTAGAAATATGAATGGCTTTTATTCTGTAAATATTGTAAATACCTTGCATTGTCTATATATAAGGGAAGTGTTGGCCCAGTGGTTAGAGCAGTGCGCTTGTGCTGTGAGAAGGTTCCAAGTACCCGGTTGTAGCTTGGGTCTAAGCTTTGCTCTCGCTGTGTGTTCCAGGTGGAGACTGAATCTCAGGAGCTCGTTGACGGTTCGCTCATCGACCTCTGCGGCGCCACCCTCCTGTGGCGCACGGCTGAGGGCCTGTCCCGCACCCCGACCCTCAAACACCTGGAGGCGTTGCGTCAGGAGATCAACGCGGCCCGGCCGCAATGTCCCGTTGGTTTCAACACGCTGGCCTTCCCCTCCATGCGGCGGAAGGACACTCCTGACGAGAAGCAGCCCTGGGTCTATCTGCAGTGCGGCCACGTGCACGGTTACCACAACTGGGGGAATCACCGCGAGGAGAGGGAGGGCCGGGAGGGCCGTCTGAGGGAGTGCCCCATGTGCCGGGCGAAAGGCCCTTATGTGCCGCTGTGGCTGGGCTGTGAGGCGGGTTTCTATGTTGACGCGGCTCCGCCCACTCACACCTTCAACCCCTGTGGACACGTTTGCTCTGAGAAGACAGCGGCCTTCTGGAGCCAAATCCCCCTCCCACACGGCACCCACACTTTCCACGCCGCCTGCCCCTTCTGTGCCCAGCAGCTGAGCGGCGAGCGGGGCTTCATCAGACTCATCTTCCAGGGGCCCCTCGACTAGCCGGGAGGGGAGGGACCCCTCCGCATGTTTTTCCTCTCTGGACCTTTTGCCTCTGTCTCCTTTTTAAGTGACCTTTGTATTGATTTTTCATGAATGACAAACAAATTTCTATATTTTCATGAAACCAGAGACACAAAACAAAAACCAAACAAAGAACACTGCGGGGTGAACTTTTGATTCACGAAGAGAACTCTCATCAGTATTTATCGAAATCACTGACACGCCCTCGTGCAAACATGCGATTTTTGTTCGAGTATTTGTTGCAATACACGTGTACATCTCTCAGAGCCTATTTAAAGAAATATGTTTATTTATGACCCAGAACATCGCTTCAACCTTTATCTGTCAGAAATCCCTAATCCTGAAGTGATTACCTTTAAAAATCCAGCATATTGTTAATCATACTTGATGTTTTAGGTGTTTTTTTTTCCAAAGGGTTTTATTCTGTGTTCTCCTATCAAAGCCATTCAGTGTATTTATATACAACACGTCCTCATCGACTACTTTGTACGACGTTTCAAGTTCAGAGCAATAGATTTGCAGCAGAAACCTCCTCAAGCATTAAAGGAGCCTCTGAGGCGTCTTTATCAATGCCTGCACAGCCGCTGCCCTCCCTTTAACGAGTGAATCTCTGTTAGCCATAAAAACGCAATGATGTAGCCGTGGACTCCCACACTAACCTGAACTGTTTTATTTATTCTAAGGATAAAATGGGCTAATAGACAGGAACTCGCGGTACAGACGTTTACCGGGTGTGGATGGCGACTTAATTCAGCCTGCTTGGCTGCTGGGATGTAAGTGAAGGTCCGATTCTGAGGCAAGAAATCGCAGGGATCTCAAAATGCTTTTGGTGCCTCGGCAGCGCCCTCTGCTGGTAACTGGGGATGAGTATCTCCGAAACATGCTGGGCTCCTTTCTTGTATTGAAGGAAGTTAAAAGTATTTTTTTTTCTCACGATGAGATGCACCAATCAGGCTTTTCCAGTCTGATTCTTCAAAGTTTGACTTACAATTCTAATTTTTAATAAACTGATTTTTATTTTCTTCCTCAGCACTAATACAGATACGAGGATAAATAAAAAGCAGGTTATTTCAAAAGGGAGGAAATCATCAGCTTTCCCATTTATGCATTGCAACATATGTTCTTACCCTTTAAACTCAAAAAGTGCATCATGTTCTTCCTTGTAGTGGATGCAGTCTTCAAAGTATATTAGTTCTTAGTTTTGTTTTGAAGCATTTAATGACATTTGGATTTTTTTTTTTTCAGGATTTGATCGCTGCATCTCTACTTTGATTGAATAATCGCAGTGCTGGAGAATTCACTGATCCGATATATTGACTGTAGCCCACAGAGGTTTGAAGCCTTTGAAAAGAAAAACGTGTTTATTTTACCAGGGCTTTGTGACAATTTGTGCTTTTCAGAAAGCATCTGCATGTGTTACTTTTTTATACATGTGGAGCAATATAGGGAACCGAATATCAGGGCTGCCTGGTCTTAGTTTTTTTTTAAGACAAAGGATTATTATTTTAGTTAAAATTCCATAGTATTTTAAAAAAGCAGGATTTAAACTAATTTATTTAAAATACAAAAGCCATCATTATTCCTTTTGCTAATAATGATATTGATTATTCCATAATTATGCAGTATTAGAATAGCTGTAATGAGGTTATCTATATATTTATTTATTATGAAATAGTTATATGACTTAATCAAGAATATAAAATGAACAAAGTCAAAATCTAGAGGCTTAAAGCATAAATCATTAGTTTCAGTTCATATATAGTGGCACAAGCTGAGGTCAGCTGGTTAACTTGTCGGGCTGGTAGCTGGCCTGCAGTCTGCTGCTTTACGGTCATGCTGTTTTTTTGTTTTTTTTTAGCTAGTTATACTTTGAACAATCTAAAAAGGTTATCTTTGTTTTTAGAGATACCATAAGTATTTTCGTAAATCTGAATTTGTCTTTTTGTTCAAGTAGAAAGTGCAGAGATAGAATTTAGGGAGGGATCACTTTGAAACTTTCTCCTGTAAATCATTAAGGTTTCATTAAAGATGAAGCACGTTTGGAGCTGCATCTTTAATATCTCTTATCAGTCCATACCTGCTACAAACCAAACCTTTCCACGGTGTATTTACCCTCTGTTAGGCTGCTTAAGAAACCATGCGTGGTTTTAATATCTAAAGCCAACAAGTAATGTTTCAGATAATTATTAGATGGAAGGATTTGTGTTTACAGACTATAGATTGGGACTTATTCTGAGAAAATGGCAAACTGAGGCAGTCCTGATATGTTACCTTTGAATAAAAGCACAGATTCTCCCAAACTCCTACTGCCGAACACACATTAGAGGCTGACATGAGCGAGACACACTCTGAAGCTGTAGATAAAACTGAAGCGTCTCTTCTGAACAGCTCCTGCAGATCCTCAACGGTCGTTTCTGTGTTTGTATGTGAGAAAGAGAGAGATTGTAATTTAACGGGTTGATTGTATGTGTTTAGTTTCTGTCCACGCAGTAGCTCTCCTCGTATCCTCAGGCTGCGACACACTAACTCACCTCAGGGAGAAACCGATGACCCGTGCACACGCTTGTACACCCTATGCTACAGCCATCTGAGGATACATCACAATGGATTAAAAAAAGAAAAGGCCTCTCCTTCTCCCAGTCCTGTTTGGTCTTCTTTATGGACTCTGTGTGATTAAAGGGCTTCCCGCTGTTTCTGTACCGTTATCTCAGCCCTGTTTGGACGCAAACAACCCGGCATCGGTTCATCCCCACCGTCCTCCTTCTGTCTTTGTGCTTGTAAAAGGCAAAATCAAAGAATGTTTCCAGCAAAACACTTTTTGTATCAACTTTAAACAATAAAGTGTAAAAGTGAAACATTTGGTTTTGTTGAGTCTCACTGAGCTGCTTTTCACTATTACATGTGAAATAATTATATCATTCAATGAGGTTTAGGCTCTGTTCGAAAACCTGGGCTGCATCCTCCAAGGACGCGGTCTA